TGTTCCAGTCCACAAAAACTTTTTTTTGTAACAAAATATCGATTTCTGCTGTCCCTGTATCGATACATTATTAGCAAACAAAATATCACGATACTACACAGTATCGATTTTTTCCCCCACCCCTACTTTCCCGTAAGCACACTGCGTTACTAAACCCTGATTTTTGTTTGTGAGAGTGTCTCATGACAACGATGTAAGCGCGTGCAACGTCCGTGGCAGCAACAGACGTGTGTATATCAACAATGGAGTGCGGGAGAGAGTACGACCATGCAGCGTTTAAAGCATGGAAGTACTGACATTGGTAAATGGTAAATGGCCTGTATTTGTATAGCGCTTTTACTAGTCCCTAAGGACCCCAAAGCGCTTTACACATTCAGTCATCCACCCATTCACACACACATTCACACACTGGTGATGGCAAGCTACGTGTAGCCACAGCCACCCTGGGGCGCACTGACAGAGGCATTACTTTGAGTTTGATTCCATAAAAAGTGACAAAAACATTAGCATCCATTGTGCACTCTGCGTGGGAAGAAAACTTCTTTCTACAGCGAAAATTTTAACTTCAAATCTGAGCAACCACGTAGCACACTGCCACAGGAATGTGAAAATCACAGAGAAACCCCCGGATCCCCCCACTGATATGACCGTTGAGGCACCGGTGATAACACTGAGTAATAAGACACCGATGAAAAGACAGAAGCTGACAATCATATCCTCTTAATTTTCAGTTTCCCATGAGTCGGGAAACATGCCTTCAAACAGCTTTCAGTACACTGAACATGAAATGTGACGAGGAAGAGGAGGAGGGGAAGAAGAAGAGGACCCTGATAACAGCTGTGATAATGGATAACGGTAAACATCAGACCTGGAAGTAAAAGATGTTTACTTCAGATGATTTTTCATGCTAATTTGGTCTCAGAAAAATAGTCAAGATATTCACTTTTCTGCAGCATATGACTAAAACATTGTATTCCTATGCATCACTGCCTAGATTTTGCACCCTTGCTTTAAAAATAATGGTCAAGATGATGCAGGGTATTCAAATATTGTAAATAAGAAGACGGTTAAGTAGAATTCCACCACACTGTTTTGCTTCCTGTTGGTTAAATTCATAAGGTAACTAAGCACATAAGGTAACTAGGCAACACCTCTGCTCTCCCATACCATATATACACATATAGGAAATGAACCAATGATCCCAACAGCCAATCAGAGGACAACTGAGGTTAATCTGATTAATGAGTATCTTGGACACGTGCATTAGGATTCAGACATCATTAGCAAATCCATATAACTTCCAAACTCTGAAAAGTTCAGAGCACAAAACAAAACTTGTTTTCACATGAAAGCATTGCAATATCAAGCATGTTCTATGTGTATATGGAGATTCTGTCACACCTGAAATGTTTGTCTGTTTTAGATTTTGTGGTGTGTGGAGATGCGGAGGGCAACATGTGGTTCAATCGCCCACCAGAGCTGTCCTCATGGAGCAAAAGAAAGCCTGTAAGAGTTCAAGAGTGAGAGAAGAGAGTGACTGACATGAACATATGAAACTGAACATTTCAAGCAGTCTGAAACCTGAGTTTTTGGCTCACATTGATTATTTGGGCAAATGGTGACCATACACTTAATATCAAGCTTCACTATTGTAAAAACGTTTTCTTATTTTCTTCCTGTCTGACAGAGGAAAAAAAGAAAAAAGCTTAATAAGTTCCTAGTAACGTCTGAGGTCTTTTAACAAAGCAGAAAGAGAGAAAACTGCCCAAAAAAAAGCTCAAAATTCTCATATTTCAGCATGTAAAATTACAAATCTGGCAATTTTTCCTCTGAATTTTTTTAATTTATTTATAGACAAATCAAATTTGGTCATCTTGATTTAAATGTACAGAGAAAAGAAAGCAGACAGCAGACATGATATACAACTTTCCTCCTTGTAATTGTGATGCTTTATCCTCAGGCTCACAGTGACAGGATCAGTGTGCTGAGACTCACTGACAGCACCATCATCTCAGCCTCCTATGACCGGACAGTGAAGCTGTGGGACAGAGACACCAAGAATCAGGTACTCTACAAACTCCACAAAACAATCTGGTCATAGATTATGTTTGTCTCCTTATCATATTCTTGCTGACTTACTGTGTTTACAGTGTTTTTGCAGCTGAAAACAGTACCCAGCAAATACACTTTATAGTTATCTCTACTATAGTAAATTACAGTCTCTACTTGTGAGGTGTGTTAAATCTTTTAACTTAATTTCCTGAATAGGAATAAATTGATTTATGCCTCAGCTTTCCCCTATAAAAACAACATTTGATATTTTCCCCTATACCGATGATGTGTTTTGACATTTGATTATATATATGAATTAAGACATGGTTTGTCAACCATTAGAATAGTTTCTGGGGTTTTCCAAGGGTAGCAGCAAAGTTGTAAGATTCCTGGCTTTATATTGTAAAAATTGTGAGATTAATTGTCAAATTATTTTAACTTCTCTTAAAGCAAGGATGATTTTCTTCACCCCGTCTCTTTTTCTTTCTGCAGGTGGGCTTGTTTGTGTGTGGAGGTCCTGTTCTGATCTTGGAGGTGAATCCACAAAGACCCACTGAGCTGGTCTGCAGTGACGGAGAAAGAAAGCTCTACTTCCTCTCTTG